CCCATTCTTAGCACGATTCCTCACGTGTGAAGAAACGGAAATTGAGAAGCTGGGGGCAGACCTGTCTCCATAATAGATATGGTAACCGTGTCGCTTCTTACTTTGAGTATTTTGTTATCTTTGACCGTTTACTCTTGAGCTTTTTGGACCCCCATAATTTATCTATTTTTGCCCTCCGTGAATGGAGCCACTTTTTGCTGAAAATTTTGATATTATCATCAAAATATAGTTCTCTATCTATCAATCTATCATAAAGATTGCCAATAGAGGAGAATTGAGATTCTCATATGTATGCAGGGTTTCGAAGTTGAGTTTTATTTTTCCTGTGATTTAATGATGCTCCAAGTAACTAGAGTGAAGACTGAGGGGATTTAGGCTCAAGTTGCTTGTGATGCGTTGTTTATGAACTTTTTGGTTGGTCTTATTTAGTCTGTCGCATATCAATTAAGAAAAACACGAACAAACGGCATATGCCTATTTTAATTCAAAATATCCATACTCCTGATCGATCGTAAGTAGCATTTATTTTTTATTCTTCGATGCAAACCATGTCCTCGGAAGGACTTTTAATGACCCCCTTAGGAGCCGAGGTGAATTCTTTAAAATTACGCAAAGAAAATCCCAAAATTAGACAATTCAGGAACATCAAAGACTGTCATTGAGCCTTGGTAGTTTTTTAATAACACTAAACGGAGGCTTTCTTAGCCCCCAGCATCAAACATTACCTTATCGGGTACACTCCCGAGGAAGTTGTCGTCATATGAGAGGTAGGTACGTAGCAGATTGGCCTTGACGCCTTTTGGCGGCTCCATGGTCATCTTCGAACCATTTTGAAGGATAAAAACGGGGAACTGTGGGCTTGGCATGCTGGTTAGCCACAAGCGGAAGTCCTTGTGAACCTAAAGGACAAAATAGCAGTGACTTTTCTGCGTAACGAAAAAAAGAGGAGGCGAAAATAGATACAAATCTGACTCCCAAAAGCAGACTCCCAAAAGCAGACTCCCAAAAGCTAAGACTAGCAACTCCTGCCGCAAATTGAAATTCAGACTCCCAAAAGCTAACAGACTCCCAAAAGCTAAGACTAGCAACTCCTGCCGCAAATTGAAATTCCTCTGCAACACTTACTCTATCAGGATCAATCTGTTCAACTAGATGCTCCAGGGCAGGCATCCAAGAGGGCGCCAGGTGGCAATTCTGGAAGAAGACCCAAATACCACGTTCCATTGCGCTCCGCATAAGCTCTTCAGCACGGGGCCCCTGGCCTTGACCCAGGGAGATAGCTGACAGCTTCTTGCCGCCAAACTTCATCACATCAGCGAATTTGTAGAGGTCGGAGGCTGGATCTGTGCCCTAAAAGTGAGGTATTGAAAAAGTTTTAACCAAATCATATCCTGTTCCTCAAAGCTGAAGCCTGTGTAGTCTCCCTGCTAGAGTACAAAAAACCTTATACATAAGGAGCACTATAAGTGTCGCCGTAAGACAAAACAATTGCAGCCTAGACACCACTGTCTCAGGAACCAAACGTTTTGACAACTGAAATCTATTCGTGTCCGAAGGTGTAAGACAGCTTCGCAGTTTAAATACCCACCATTTAGAGGAAGTTATCACAGGCTGATTCGCGCGGAATGAGACACCAGCACTTAGATAGCGCCTGCAAATAGGGAGTCATCTACACTACTTAGTGTCATCTCTAGTCTTCCTGACCATACCT